TGTGTGTGTGTGTGTGTGTGTGTGTGTGTGTGTGCGTGTGTGCGTGTGTGTGTGTGTATGCGTGTGCATGTGCATGTGTGTGCGTGTGTGCGTGTGTGAGAGAGAGGGCATGCGAAGACATGTATGTGTGTGAGCATGCGAAGACATGGCCGTAAGTGCGCATGACACATGCAAGTGCGTGTGTAGGGATGCGAGGATGCGTGCATATGCGCAGCCAAGGGCCGAGGGGCCCCGCCCGCCCGGGCCAATGTGCCCGACGCAGCGGGACACGGCAGCAGCACGCACCAGACTTGGTGACCTGGTGCATGTGGATGCGGTGCGCATCGGCCGGGTCATGCTGGCCGATGAACAACTGCATGGCCGACGCCGACAGGGGGCCGGAACAGCCGCACAGCAGCGAGGCCACCAGCAGGCCGGACAAGAGGGGGGGGGGGGAGGGGCGGAGGGGCGAGCGATTAGCGCCGGGCCCGACGCGCGGGCAGGCAGCCGAGCAGAGGGGCAAACAAAAAAAAGCACCCAACAAAGCGACCTACCTGGGTGCCGGCCAGGGCAACCGACTGCTCCGGGGCAATGGTCCCGGAGACGGAGATCTCCAGCTGCGAGGTGACCGACTCGGCGTCGAGCCCCCGGGCCACGCGCGCCGTGATGGACACCTTCTCCGGGTGGTGGACCCCCAGCAGGGAGCCGCCCTCGACGCCGTAGAAGGGCGAAATGAGCCGGCGGACCGCGTGCTCGGTGTTCGACACGCAGAAGGGAATGTGAATGCGCATGCTGCACCGGCCACAGGGCCCGGCGGGGCGACGAGCGATGTCAGCGACAGGACCAAGGTGCGAGGGGGGGGGGCGGGGGGAAGCCATGAAGCAGCAGCAGCAGCAGCAACAGCAGCAACAGCAGCAGCAGCAGCAGCAACAGCAGCAGCAGCAGCAGCAACAGCAGCAGCAGCAGCAGCAACAGCAGCAACAGCAGCAGCAACAGCAGCAACAGCAGCAGCAGCAGCAGCAGCAGCAGCAGCAGCAGCAGCAGCAGCAGCAGCAGCAGCAGCAACAGGAAAGGAAGGCAGGGCCCGGGGCAGCGCACGTGGTGGAGGCCGGGTCGGCGCGCTGCCAGAAGCGCGCGCGCGAGGCCACCTGCTCCAGGGCCACCTCGCAGGGGAGGCACATGGCCGGGATGGCCGGGCGCTGGGCGCCCTCCGGGCCGAAGGGCATCGTCTGGGCCACGGTGGCATTGGCCGGGCTGTCGACCAGCAGGCCGCCGGGCGAGCACCAGAGCCGGCCGATGGAGGGCGAGTCGCGCGGCGTGAAGAGCGCCTGCGAGATGACCCGAGCCGCGTGGCCGGCGGTCTGGTCCTGGAGCAGGTCGCGCGGGGCCGCGCCCGGGGCCAGCTCCAGCTCGGCATACACGCCGGTCGGGTGGTGGGACGAGGCGCTCAGCGCCGGGTCCACGCCCGGGGAGAAATGCTGCGTCCACACCCGCAGGGCCGACACGCCGGCCGCGTCGAGCAGGGACTACGCAAGCCCCAGGGGAGCCGGAAGGGGCCAGGTGGATGGCGGGGTGAGCGACACCGGGGGACGGCCACAGCCGGGGCCGAGCATGGTGCGATGTGTGGCGAGGAGCGCGCGCACCGAGGAATTGAAGGCCGGCGGGTTCCAGCGGGCCTCGAAGCGGATGGCCTGCTTTTCGACCGGCAACTCCTGGCCGGGTGCCAGGTCCAGCTTGAGGGGCATGCGCCCGGCGGCCGGGCCCCGGGGCGGGAGGATCGATGCATCCGGGTGGAAGACGGCCACAAACACCGGGCCGATGGAGGTGCTGCCCGGCGGCCCGGCGGCCGCCGTGGCGAGGGCGGCCAGCACGGCCAGCACGGCCAGCACGGCCAGCAGCGGGGCCAGCGGCCCGGCGCCGGGGCCGCGTGCGGGACCGGACATCTCTCGCGGCCTTTCTCGGGTGAGGGGG